GTGTGTATGTGAGCCATGTGTGTGCTATGTGAGCATGTGACAGTGCGACTGAGCATGTGTGTGTGTGGATGAGTGTGACTGGGGATGAATGTGTGTGAGCCATGTGTGTGCTGTGTGAGCGTGTGACAGTGTGACAGCATGTGTGTGTGTGGATGAGTGTGACTGGGGATGACTGTGTGTGAGCCATGTGTGTGCGGTGTGAGCATGTGACATTGTGCCTGAGCATGTGTGCGTCTGGATGAGTGTGACCGTGGGGATGACTGTGTGTGGGGGAATGACTGCATGAGCACGCAGGTGTGTGGATGAGCGTGTGAGTGAGTTGTGTGAGTGTGGCTGAGTGTGAGCACACATGAGGAGCCTGTGGGTGTGCGAGGGAGGTGGGGAGGCCACAGGGAGGGAAAGCCTGGAGGCTGCAGCTGATCCAGGGCCAGGCCATGGAGGCACATGAGGGTTTCCAGGGGCTGGACCCCGAGAAGCTGAGAGCCAGCACTGGAGAAGGTCCCCAAGAGGAAAGGGGCGTCCTTGGGCTTTGGTGCCTCCAGGGTCTCAGGGTGCCCCTGAGGGCCGACCGTAGTCCCCACCAAGGCAGAGGTTGCTCTGGGCTTGGCTCTCCTGGACAGACACTGTTTCCTTGGTGAACCCCACTTCTGGGTCCCCCTGGCCCTGAAAGGCTCCAGCTGCCCGGGAAATACCTCCTGATGGCTGGGATGTTGCTCCACACTCGGACAGCACTCTGCAGGACTCCGCCGCGGACATCCGGGATGGTGGCCTGCTCCATCTGGGGGTGGGAAGGGTGGCCGTGGGTCAGGGGACCTGGAAGGTGAGCGCTGCCCTCCCCCCCACAGGACCACTGGCCTCAGCTGCTAATGGCCCTGTGCGGTAGACCGACTTTCTAGCCTGACTGGGTGCTCCATGTCCCTGCCTTTTTCTTACACATCACCTTTGGAGAAAACAGCTGATGAATCGTTTTAAACCAACAAAACAGATTCTGTGGCAATAAGATACCAAATTACAGACAGGACCTCAGGCACGCCAGGCAAGGGTGGAGCCGCGTGCCCCACACCTAGAGGATGGACTCTGCCCTCACCACCGCTACAGCGGCTGCTTTTCCTCCAGCGGCTACACACGCACTGGCCCCCCGATGAGCAAGATTCAAACGCCTGCAGCTCATCCACCCGCAGACCCCGTTCCACTGCCGTGACCACAGCTCCGACTGGGCGGGAGACTGACTTCAGGAGTCTCCCCCTGATAAGGGACCCCCACCGTGGACCGGCTCTGGCCGGTTTAGAGGCTGCGCACTTGAGCGCCTTCGTGTCCCGAGAAGACCTCTGACGTTTAGGGCCTCACTGCGACACGTTCACATGTGAAGGCTCCACCCCAGCACAAACACGGGCCACATGTTACACACGTTTGTTTAGTATGCGTGCAGCATGGGCCCTTTATGAATATTCACCACTCCTCCATAACCCGCTCAGCACGGAGCCCCTGCCCTGGCCACCCCTGCCCTTCCAAGTGCCTCCTCCTGGCTCTGGTCCTGGCAGCGGCTCTGGTCTTGGCAGAGACCATGCTTCCCAGCCTGGGGAACAAGGCCTTGCAAGCTGTCCCCCCGTTAGAGAAACAGCCTCAGGCCAGGTGCGGTGGCTCAAGCCTGTAATCCCAGCACTTTGGGAGGCCGAGGCGGGTGGATCACGAGGTCAAGAGATCGAGACCATCCTGGTCAACATGGTGAAACCCCGTCTCTACTAAAAATACAAAAAATTAGCTGGGCATGGTGGCACGTGCCTGTAGTCCCAGCTGCTTGGGAGGCTGAGGCAGGAGAATTGCCTGAACCCAGGAGGCCGAGGTTGCGGTGAGCTGAGATCGCGCCATTGCACTCCAGCCTGGGTAACAAGAGTGAAACTCTGTCTCAAAAAAAAAAAAAAGAGAAACAGCCTCCTGTTTTGAAAGCACAGATCTTGTGATTCTCAGTTCGTGGAGTTTGGGAAACAGAGACGGATAGCACCGGAGTCAGAACAGACCCCGCTTCCCCGGACCCAGCCTCTCCATGAGATTCCCAGCACCAAAAGACCCTGGACCCCTCCTGTACCCTTGACCCTGTCTGGACTCTCAACCTCACCCGTAACCTCAACCCCACCCAGACCCCAGCAAATCTCCAGCGCACAGGTGCTGCCCGCTCGTGGGCGGAGCCCTTGCTGGTTGCGGCCCCTCCGTGGAACCGAGAGCATGAGGAACGTCCCCCTCCTGAGCCTCGCACCTGTCTCCTGTGGCCTGTCTCCTGTGGCCGAGGTGTGGTGGTCCCTCCCCCACCCTGGAAGTATCTGGAACACCCAGCCTGTCCGTCCCAGAAGGATCCATCACTGAGCCCGAAAGTGGTTCCTCTGATAATTGGGATGCAGACGCATGAAGAAAGGCTGTTTATGTGAGTGTGTGGTGTGACCTTGCGTGCGTGTGGTGTGCCTGTGTGAGGCAAGTGTGTGCACCAGTGAGTGTGCGTGGTGTGACGTGCACGTGTGTGTGCAGACTGCGGGGGCAGGGCGGAGGCCGAGTTCTGCGAGCACGGGAGAGGTGTGAGGTGGGACCACCCTCCAAGGCCATCCTGGAAGGAATGTGGTGTCCCAGGCACCACAGCCCCTGCCTGGGCCGCACGGCAGCTCTCCTGAGTCCTTTTCCCACCTGGAAAGCGGGGGCCGCAGGGGGCCTGGCTCGGAGCCTGGCATGTAGGCTGAGCTCCACCCCAACAGCCCCTCCCTCACGTGGGCATGGGCCAGAGGGCGGGCCGCCCAGCCCCGCACCCACCTCCAGGAAGCGACACACGAGGTCTTGGTCCTCTTTGTTTAGCATCAGATGATCCACGAACATCCAGAAGAAGGGCCGGAGGCTGCCCGAGGGCCGTGCGTACTGCAGGAGCCGGTGGAACTGGAACAGGTACCAGGCTGCAGGGACAGGGTTGAGGGGTCTGGGGATGTTCAGGTGCATCTGGGCGGGGGCCTAAGGAGCCTGAGGCACGAGAGCAGGGCTGGGGGAATCTGGGGGATGTGCCGGCCTGGGTCTGAGGGGCCCCCTGCCCCTGCGGCAGCTCCGCCCCTCCAGCAGCAATAGAGGCCTGAGGGCGTGGGACTCGCTGTACCAGAGGCACAAGGACCCCCCCTCCCCGGCAGGCTGGGCATTGGGAAAAGACAGGCAACCCAAGTGAGCCAGGAGCTGACAGCAGAGTGCCTGCCCGGTGCAAATACCGCCTTCTGGAGGAAGCTCCAAAGGACACGTGGGCTGCACGGGGCCAGCGGGGAGCCTGTGGTGACGGGGTTGCTCACTCTCCTGCTCATGATGAGGGTGTATGGGGGTGTACAGCTAGGTCAGAACTCATGCAGTTGTGCAACTGAATGTGTGCAACTTACTGTCAGTGATGCCTCAATAAAGCTGTTTTTTTTTTTTTTGGAGACGGAGTTTCACTCTTGTTACCCAGGCTGGAGTGCAATGGCGTGATCTCGGCTCACCGCAACCTCTGCCTCCTGGGTTCAGGCAATTCTCCTGCCTTAGCCTCCTGAGTAGCTGGGATTACAGGCACGCGCCACCATGCCCAGCTAATTTTTTTGTAGTTTTAGTAGAGACGGGGTTTCACCATGTTGACCAGGATGGTCTCGATCTCTTGACCTCGNTTTTAGTAGAGACGGGGTTTCACCATGTTGACCAGGATGGTCTCGATCTCTTGACCTCGTGATCCACCCGCCTCGGCCTCCCAAAGTGCTGGGATTACAAGCGTGAGCCACCGCGCCCGGCTAACAAAGCTGTTTTTTAAAAAATGCAGACACTTCGCAGTTTCTGCCCTGGCATGCGGTGGGGACGGGGGGGGAGAGGAGAGGAAACAGGGTTGGGGGCAGGCTGCTCGGGGAGCTGGAGCTGACCACAGGCCATTTGTGAAGCATCATCACTCACCGGGAGGATGGTCACAGGCGTGGCCGGGGGCAGGTGTGGCACCATACAGGAGGTCGAACGGGCCCCACTCTTCCACCTGCAGGAGAGAGGGTGTGGGCACTGAGGCAGCAGGTGTCCCAGAGCGGACCCCGCTCAGCTGGCAGGACCTGCAGGCTGGGGCAAGCCACAGAGTGGAGCCCACGAGGGCAGAGCCACCCGCAGCCGCCCCCAGCCTCAGGGGCTGCCTCCCTGGAGCCCAGAGAAGACTGTGCTGTGAGTTTGGGGACTGAATTCTGCGCAGATTCTTTTCTAAGGAGCGTGGGGGAATCACGCCTCACAAACCACAAAAGCTTGTTAAATGGGTGGTTTTGACACGGTATACGGTGACTCTGTCATGGCATCACCCGACAAACAGCAGACCTCCTTAACTCAAGCATTCCTTTCTACTGACTCCAAGTTTTTAGGCAAAGCTTAACTCTTTCAACCAACTGCCAACTGAAGATCACTAAACCCACCTATAACCCATAAGCCCTGCTCCAAGATATCCTGCCTTTTGGGGCTAAACCAATGTGCACCTTCTATGTATTGATTATTTATTGATTTTTTTGACATGTACCTTCTATGTATTATTTATTAATTTTTTTGAGATGGGGTCTCACTTTGTCACCCAGGCTGTGGTGCAATGGCGAGATCTCGGCTCACTGCAACCTCCACCTCCTGTGTTCAAGTAATCCTCCTGCCTCAGCCTCTGGAGTAGCTGGGACCGCAAGTGAGCACCGCCACACCGGCCAATGTTTTTGTATTTTTGGTAGAGATGAGGTTTCACTATGTTGCCCAGGCTGGTCTTGAATGCCTGAGCTCAAAGTACTGGGATCACAGGCGTGAGACGCCGTGCCAGACCTGTGTATGGATTTCTGATTCTATCTGTGATTCCCTTCTCTCTGAAATGTATAAAAACAAATTGTAACTGACTGCCTCAGGTGCACTTCTTCGGGACCTCTCGACTGTTTCCCGGACCATGGCTCAGAATAAACTTGTTTAAGTACTTTGGCAGAATTTGGTTTTTCTGTCTGTCATCACTTTGCCCTTGGAGAACCAGTCCTGGGAGCCCCAACACTGCAGACCACCTGAGGAGGCAAGTGACTCTGTCCTGTGTGAACACAGCAGGCAGTGCCCGCTCTCAGGGGGACAGCCTTCCCTGCTGCACAGAAAGAGCTCCTGCAGAGCACCCGTGACCAGGCTGCTCCATGGCTGAGCTGGAAGACAGATCACAGCCATCCCATAGTCCTGCCCGAATACAGACAAGACAAGGGTGCCCTTCAACCACGAAAGTGACCAAGGTGGGGGGCTGTGGGCAACGCTGGCTTCATAAACAGTGACGGCCCTCACCCTGCCTTTCTTCTTCAGAAAACATCAATGGCTGGGTGTGGTGGCTCATGCCTGTAATCCCAGCACTTTGGGAGGCCAAGGCAGGTGGATCACCTGAGGTCAGGAGTTCAAGACCAGCCTGGCCAATATAGTGAAACCCTGTCTCTCCTAAAAATACAAAAAATTAGGCCGGGCGCGGTGGCTCAAGCCTGTAATCCCAGCACTTTGGGAGGCCGAGGCGGGTGGATCACGAGGTCAAGAGATCGAGACCGTCCTGGTCAACATGGTGAAACCCCGT